GGCCGAGGCGGGTGGATCACGAGGTCAAGAGATCGAGACCATCCCGGTCAACATGGTGAAACCCCGTCTCTACTAAAAGTACAAAAAATTAGCTGGGCATGGTGGCGCGTGCCTGTAATCCCAGCTACTCAGGAGGCTGAGGCAGGAGAATTGCCTGAACCCAGGAGGCGGAGGTTGCGGTGAGCCGAGATCGCGCCATTGCACTCCAGCCTGGGTAACATGAGTGAAACTCCGTCTCAAAAAAAAAAAAAAAGAATGAAAGATAGAGGCTGGGCACGGTAGTTCATGCCTGTAATTCTAGCACTTTGGGGGGGCTGAGGCGGGCAGATCACCTGAGGTTGGGAGTTCAAGGCCAGCCTGACCAATGTGGTGAAACCCCATGTCTACTAAAAAATAAAAAATTAGCTTGGTGTGGTGATGTGTGCCTGTAATCCCAGCTACTTGGGAGGCTGAGGCAGAGAGTTGCTTGAAGCCAGGAGGTGGAGGTTGCAGTGAGCTGAGATCAATGATGCCAGTGTACTCCAGCCTGGGCAACAGAGCAAGACTCCATCTCAAAAAATAAAAATAGTCTCTCGTGTTTCATGTATTTTGGTTATGAAGATTGTGCTAGCCATGAAATAGACTGGGAAGCTATCTGGCTTTTTTTGTGCTTCATAATGGTTTAAATAACAGGAATCATCTGTTCCTTAAGGTTTCTCCCTAAAATAACTTCCCTCTGTCACCCCCCCCCCAAGTTATATTTTCCTTTATTTTTTTAGAAGTAGCACATAGTATTAAAATTGTTTTATTTATGTATTTAATTGATCACTTGCATTGGTCTTCCTCCATTAGAATGTAAGTTCCTTGAAAACCAGAGACCTCATCTGTCTTGTACATTAGTATGTCCCTAGCATCTAAAACAGTATCTGGTACATAATGGCACTCAGTAAGTATTTATTGAATTAATAAAATTCTAAAGCTGAGCAGAAAGTCTACTTAAACACATATATTAAACAGTATTGATTTTCTTTGGAATCAGTGTTGATAAAATCACAGCTGTGGAAAATACCCTGGGATTAACTAGCTTCATCGTTTAATTCATACTAAACTTTTTCTTTTTTGCAGGTGATCAGAGGACTGCTGAAATTTTGGCCAAAAACCTGCAGTCAGAAAGAGGTGAGTTTTGTTCACTAAATGTAGTGCATTTTGCTAGAACTTGTCAATCCCAGGGCTATAAACCATTTTGCTTTGGGCTGGCTGTGTTGCTGCTGGTAAGAGCGGGAGATGTACAGAGACTTGGTAGAAGACCTGTGCTAGAGTAAACTCTGTGCCATCCAGACATTTTTTCCTCATTGTATACTCTGTAGATTAACCTTCGCATTTGTATGGTTTCAATATTAGTTTCACATAATTTATCATGTTTCTTAAAATAAAATTTCTTTAACCTAGGTGATGTTTTTAGGAGAAATTGAAGAAATCTTAGATGTCATTGAACCAACACAGTTCAAAAAAATTGAAGAGCCACTTTTCAAGCAGATATCCAAGTGTGTATCCAGTTCTCATTTTCAGGTACAATGTTTTCAGTGAAGCCATTTTTATTTTACACTATTGTTTCTTTGCTATTTTAGCTTTGACATTTCTCTGAATGTCTTTTTTAGGTTGCAGAAAGGGCACTGTACTTCTGGAATAATGAATATATTCTTAGTTTGATTGAGGAGAACATTGATAAAATTCTACCAATTATGTTTGCCAGTTTGTACAAAATTTCCAAAGAACACTGGAATCCGTTAAGTATCTTTTATATTGGTCATTTTTTTTTTTTTTTTTACCTTTTTGTTATTGATTTCCTAACTCATACATGAAACCTAGTTAACAAGGTTTCATGTTAACTCCAAGGTTAACATCACAGTTTTATTCTGTTCCGTATTTTATATATATTAAGTTATAAATATATGTGTGTGTGTTCTTCAGTATATGGTCTTAATTAATGTCAGTTTATTCTTTAAATTTTTTGGAGATAGAGTCTTGCTCTGTTGCCCAGGCCGGAATGCAATGGTGTGATCATAGCTCATTGTAGCCTCAAACTTCTGAGTTCACACAGTCCTGCCTTAGCCTCCTGAGTAGCTGGGACCACAGGTGTGCACCACCACACCTAGCTCATTTTTATTTTTTTGGGCAGATGAGGTTTCACTATATTGCCCAGGCTGGATTGAAACTCCTGGGCTCAAGCAATCATCTCGTCTTGGCCTCCCAAAGTGCTGAGATTATAGGCATGAACCACTGTACCCAGCCTTAACGTCAATTTAAAATTGCAAATCTCCCTGGAGGTTGAACTATCTGGTATGCATTCTGCACCAGAATGTGGTCAAAAGCTGTTGGGAAGACCAACTGAACATTTTCGGAGGACGCACAAACTACTCCGTTGATGCAGAGTTGTGTTGATTTGCTCCCAGTATATGGTCTCACCTCTATAAATAGCACTGTCTCAGGGGAAAGCTGAAGTGCTCAGGGTAATATATATTCTAACTTCTTTAACATCCTTAAACTGCTTTCTACTCAAGTTTTTGTCATTGGATCTTTGTCGTCTTCTTTTAATGTTGTTACTCAAGATTTCAGACATGAGACTGTAGAGTAGAAATGAAGGTAACCATGAACATTTTAAAGTTTAACGTACACATTAAAGTGGAAAGGATTTGTTTGCTTAGATTGTCTCTACCACCACTTGCTATATGACCTTGAGCATATTACAAACCTCTTGAACCTCAGTTTTATCATCTCTAAAATGGATTAAATGAATTAGCCAACCTTTAACCCATTTTGGAGACCGTAATGTTACATTTTCTCTCTGTTAGCAGTATTATAACTCAGGACTGGCTCATTTTCATTTTAGGACCATTGTAGCACTGGTATACAACGTGCTGAAAACCCTAATGGAAATGAACGGCAAGCTTTTCGATGACCTGACTAGCTCATACAAAGCTGAAAGACAGAGGTATTTGATATTTTGAATTACAAAATTATCTATACATTTCATGATAGTTGAATGTGATTGAGTTCAGGAAGGTATCTTCCCTAAGTTCAAATTTTCATATTTAAGAAGTTAATTACCTTATAGTAAACATTACAATGTGAAAGTGTTTTTTAACACATAAGTCATTTCCAGATAAAGTAGCCCCAGTATCTTTGTAAATTTGTTAAAGCAGAAAAAGCAGTAACATTTATTTTTGAGGGTGGTTACATAATTTACTTCCCCTAATGGTTAGATTATGATTTTAATGTGGATCATAAATCCTCTGTTTATCTCATTCTGAGCCTTAGATTTCCTTAGTCTGTTAGCATCTGCATATGAAATATAATTTATGCTGAATTTTAAATATCAATTTGATTTTTTATCCCTACATTTATAAAAATCCTTTTGTCCACGTGGGCTTCCAAAGTGAGCTTTACTCTTCAGCTGTTCTTTGCTAGCAGTAGGTAATTCTTACGTTGTAGATTATCAGAGGTGGTATTTTAAAGTCAGCATAGTTCTCCTTTGGGAGGAGAGAAGTCACATAATGATATATTTATGGCTTAGGGTACTATTAATATGTTGTTCTTGCAGTAATATGTATTTTACAGTATAAATGTTAGCACATATCAGTCTTTAGGAACATGGCTTAGTGATTACCTCTTTTTTGAGAATTTCATAAATTACTATAAAATAATCTTTCAAGAATTACTTCCTTCTCGTATATTTATTTCAAACTCAAGAAGGGCTGTCTTAAACTTAAGTGGTTAATGACCAGTGTACCTGAGCCCACCCAGCATTTGGGGATAATAGTTACCATTTACTTCTAATAAGCATATTACCTGTTCTGTTTAGAAAAGCTGATCTATTTTGACAAGTTCCTAGTTATGGTTATCTTAAAGAAGAAAATGGATAGCCTTTCTTCAAAGCCATCTAGTCCATTAATAACTAACTCAGTGCATTATTTCCTTTAAATAGCAGCATTCAGGCAGGAATAGAAATTAAGTCCACATTTTGAGCCTTAGGAAGCAATGGGAAGAAAAATAAGATGACGAGGATCATAAGAAACGTGTATTTGAAAAATATGTATTTTACATGACTAAGAATATAATTATTATTTCTTATCTGCATAAATCAGCAAATCCTTTAAAAGGATTTGTCCTTTTAACTTGTAACTGTAGAATTACAAGCCCATGTTTCACATGTTCATGTAGCCTTTCAGAATAGTCTGTTCAAGTTATTCAGAAATGTTTTCCTTAGAACTGATAGTAAGTAGTTGAAATGACATACGAAATATTTTGACTGTCATTTTGTTTTAGAGAGAGACTACTGAAACTAAAGTTTTCATTTGACATGTAAAAGACAAGAGAGAGTAAGATACAAACTGGTTAGTGGTTAGAGATGTGGCTGTTAGTAGCAAAAGGATGTGGCTTCTGTCTGGTTTGGTGAAGGATGTGCTTCCTACTGACCTAGTGGCCAGCCCCTTCAGCCTTTGTAATAGTGATGGGACTACTACAGCAACCGCAAGATGTTTATGTGAGAAAATTAGCATATAAGTACTTTGTTGACTATAAAGTACAGTGTCATGGCAGTGATAACGTGTAGGGGACACAAAGCAAATGGTAATGTCTAGTTGGTACAGGAGATGCACAGACTCGGTACATTTAGGAGAGTGACAGGAAGAAGTTAGGTGCTCCAGGTAAGTGGACTCAAGCTTTAGCAGAGGGATTTAAGTGAAATGTGGGTGAGCCATGTGTTCTCCAGTAAACTGTCAAACAGCACCTCTTTTTGGGTTCTGAAATAATTTCTGATCACAAAAATTTTGATTTATCTACAGAGAGAAAAAGAAGGAATTGGAACGTGAAGAATTATGGAAAAAATTAGAGGAGCTAAAGCTAAAGAAAGCTCTAGAAAAACAGAATAGTGCTTACAACATGCACAGTATTCTCAGCAATACAAGTGCCGAATAAAAAAAATCCTCCCACCTCTGCCAGATAGGCACAGTTTTGTATGCTTTTTTTTTTTTTTTTTTGAAATATGTAAAAATTACAAAACAAACCTCATCAGTATAATATAATTAAAAGGCCAATTTTTTTCTGGCAACTGTAAATTGAAAAATATATGGACTAAACATAGCCCTGTGCTGTATCATGGCCACAGTATATTGTAACCTTTGTCTAATCATTGGATTTATTGTGTCACTTCTGAAGTTTCATAGAAATGAATCTTATCATCTATGATATCAGTGAGATAATTATGGGAGTGGTAAGAATTATGACTTGAATTCTTGATTGTGTTGCACATAGGTATGGTAATCTGCTCTGTATATTTTTCCCTTTTATAATGTGCTTTTCACACTGCTGCAAACCTTAGTTACAGCCTAGGAAAAAGAATACTTCCTAAAATAAAACTAAGGTATCATCCTTACCCTTCTCTTTGTCTCACCCAGAAATATGATGGGGGGAATTACCTGCATTAACCCCTCCCTCAATAAAGATATTACTGTACTCTGGAATTTAGGCAAAACCTTAAATCTCCAGGCTTTTAAAAGCACAACATATAAATAAAAGCTGGGAAAGTAAGTAAACCAGAATTCTTCAGATTTTTCCTCATGAATATCCCCCTTCCTCTGCAATTCCCCACAGTGGTGACAGATGGGTAGAGGCAGGTCAGGTCAGTTACTTAGCTTGCCTCTCAATTCATTCCTCCTCTTCCTCTCAAAGGCTGAAGGCAGGGCCTTTCCAGTCCTCAGGACCTCCCCTTCACCTAGTCCCTCCTGACCCACGGATGGAGGCTTTGAGTCCCGTAGTGTGGTGATACAGAGCACTAGTTGTCACTGCCTGGCTTTATTTAAAGGAAATGCAGTAGGTTTCCTCTGTAGAGCTCTGAAAAGGCTGACTATATAGAGGTCTTGTATGTTTTTACTTGGTCAAGTATTTCTCACATCTTTTGTTACCAGAGTACCATTCCAATCTCTTAACTTGCAGTTGTGTGGAAAACTGTTTTGTAATGAAAGATCTTCATTGGGGGATTGAGCAGCATTTAATAAAGTCTATGTTTGTATTTTGCCTTATGTCATCTTTGCTTCTTTTAGCTCTAAGCTTAGGCATACACTGAGAAGCCTGCCCCCTTTTTTACATACATACATATATTTATAGAAACTTTTAAGACAAATTGTGGGATGAAGTCTAATTTAAAAATAAGAAGATTGTGTGCCAAGGTTGAGTGTTCTAGCCTTTTATGAAAATACCTATTTCACAGAATATTTGTAGAAAATTCTAAGTTCTAGAGTACCCCTCCATCATCTTTATGTCCTTGTATGTTTAGAGGATAGGTTTAATTTACTTTGAAGCTAGTTTTTCATAATCCATAATAAATAGCACTTCTAGTGAAGACCAGGGAACCTGTGGCACAGTTAGAAATCAGACATTCTTGGCCAGATGTGGTGGCTCACGCCTGTAATCCCAGCACTCTGGGAGGCTGAGGCGGGTGGATCACCTGAGGTCAGGAGTTATCAGTTAAAAACTCTAGCATAGGGTCTGCACACTACTCCCAGGTCATCATGAAAGCACTGTACCAAAAGCAAGATAACCAGAATTCTTCCTTTTAGTACAAAGGCTCCTATTTTATTGTTCTCAAGTAATAGGTATTGTAGAGTCACCTTGTCATGGCCATCAGGTTAAGGTGTTCCTTCCAGATTCTCTACACTCACGCAGGGCCAGCCCGTATTGCTGACAGCTGTCGACAGCACAGCTGGGTGATTAAAAGGATGATCCTACACAAAAGAGAAGGAAAAGGCAAACACCTGCCTTTCCAGAAAGTGAAGGTTAGGTCTAAATGTCTATTCTGTAGAAGGTTTAGGTATATTTCTTTTACTGAAGAGAAGCCAGAGTAGATTTTGAAAGGTTACAGCCAATAAAAGTTTTTTTCTCTGAAAAGAAATCGTTCACTTCCTAATTATGTACTTACATGAAAGCACATTTAGTAGGTCTCTCAACCTTTCTTTTCTTTTTTTGAGATGGAGTCTCATTTTGTTGCCCAGGCTGGAGTGCAGTGGTGTGATCTTAGCTCACTGCAACCTCCGCCTCTTAGGTTCAAGTGATTCTCCTGCCTCAGCCTCCTGAGTAGCTGGGATTACAGGCACGTACCACCACAGTGGCTAATTTTTGTATTTTTAATAGAGACAGGGTTTCACCATGTTGGTCAGGCTGATCTTGAACTCCTGACCTCAGGTGATCCACCCGTCTCAGCCTCCCAAAGTGCTAGGATTATAGGCATGACCCACCACGCCTGACCTCAACTTTCTACAGTATAGAAAACATAGTATGTTCATTGAAACATTTTATTAGATATTTAAGTAATATTAAAGTCATTGGCCGGGCACAGTGGCTCATGCCTGTAATCCCAGCACTTTGGGAGGCTGAGGCAGGTGGATTACTTGAGCTCAGGAGTTGGAGACCAGCTTGGACAATGTGGTAAAACCCCGTCTCTACTAAAAATAGAAAAATTAGCCAGACCTGGTGGTACATGCCTGTAATCCCAACTTCTTGGGAGGCTGAGGCAGGAGAATCACTTGAACCCAGGAGGCGGAGGTTGCAGTGAGCTGAGATCGCGCCATTGCACTCCAGCTTGGACAACAGAGTGAATGACACTGTCTCAAAAAAAAAGTGACATATCACTGTTAGACACACTTTAAGAAAACACAGCTCCCTTTTTGTCAGTACTGTTAATGTAAGCTTTTATGCCTGGCTTTGCATTTGCCCTGCTAAAATAAGATTTTTTTAAAGAGACCTAGGCTAAAACCCAAATTATTCTCATGCCTCTGTGGAGCAGAAAAGTGACAGGGAATATTTCTTTACACAGTTCACTAGTAATCATTCAACCGAAAAAGTTTCTTCCTGGACACAAGACAATTTAAAATGTCTATTCATACATTTGAATTATTCCCTTTGGATTATCAGAAGCCAGATTACAAAATTTAGAAAATGCCACCAAGTCATCTTTGAGGTAACAGGTACATAAACAATTTAAAACTCTGGAAACAATTTTTAGAATCTTAATGTAAACAATAATCTAGACTTTTTTTTTTTAAATGCATACTTATCCCTGTCAAAGGCTAGGCTAAAAGCTTTCAGAGTCATACTGTGTGTGCCCCTTCCTCAGATGATGGGTGGTTTTGTAAACACAGTAAAGAGTTAACCAAGCTTACTCGAGGGCACCAGGTCACTCTTCCTGGACACCTGCCATCAGTTGCCGTGCCCAATAAACCCTTCCCTGGAAGCAGTTAGAACATACCTTGAGAGTCAGATCCATCCATCTTGGGAGTCCAGACTCACACTAGCTTTTTGTTTTTGGAAGTCACCAAATGAGAGAATTGGTGCCTGATGATTTAGCAGATATTCATACTGTCACACTCATTCCTTTTGTATTAACCTTTTATTTACCTGTTAATGAAATCATCAAAATACGCTGAGTAGGCACCTACTATGTACATCTGTCCTAGTGCTTCTGAACGTTAATCTAAACTCATACATCAACAAACATTCTAGCCAGACAAGTAGGTGGCTAGTCAGTCCATTAAGAAACTTAATTACTAGTTTCAAGTAGATTTAAAGTCTCATTTAACCTTTAACAAAGAGCATATCAGAGGCTGGACATCAATGGCAGATGATGCCAAAGTTACAGGCTTCTTTGCCTTTGTGTACAGTGCATATGCTCCGAAGCATGACCTGCACATCTTGATAGTCCGGATTTTTGGAAAAAGAAAATCACACTCTTCTGTCCACTTTTAAAAGGTGAAAAGTAGAGCCTTCATTACCCTATTAGAGCTTAACCTAATAAAATACAATGAACCAAACAGGAAGAAAGGCATCTTCCACAAACTCTATTCAATAAAGTCATTGGCCAGCTCTTTAAAAAGTTCATTAATAATTTAAATATTTAACTAACTTTCAGGTTATCCATTAGGTCTTTTCTATTAGGCTCTACACAGTCTCTTTGGGAGCCAGGTTAGAAGTTCCAGTTTGACATGTTGTTCCTCCCAGCAAGGCCCCATTTCTTCAAGTGAGTACAGGATTGTTGATAGCTCGGTTTATAAAGTGGAAGTGATGACAACTCCCATTGATGTGGGCAGTTCTGTAAACATTGTGAGGTGACTTCAGCTTATGTGGTTTGTTGCCTGACCTCTTCTTTTAAGGTATCTCTTTCTAATTTTGATCATCCATTTTATACTCAGTTTCGCAAACTCTGCTGCTTTAAATAATGCCAAGAAGGCCCCACAGAGAAGAGCAATTGTGTTCCAAGGATTGGCAGTGATTATCTGTGAAGCAAACAGAAACAAACATAGGATTACTGGTTTGCTTCAGTCTTGATTCTTAAGTTACAGTGTTATTGTCAAGAGCCCTTCCCAAATTATTAGGACTGTAAGAAAATTACTTACATTCTGAAACTGTGAGAACTCTATACTTCATTCAGACCATACTTTTAATGTCTACAGCTCAGTTTGAGGAGAAAAATACTATGCCTTCCCTATGATAAAGTGATTCTGATAGAAAGCTGTTTTTCAAAAAAGCTCTGCACAAATAAGATATGCAATTTTAATTTTGTGACCTAATCCAACCATATGTGACCTTGCTTTGAGACAAATTTCCCTGCATCTATACTCAATCCATAAGAAGGTCAGCTCGGCCGGGCGCGGTGGCTCAAGCCTGTAATCCCAGCACTTTGGGAGGCCGAGGCGGGTGGATCACGAGGTCAAGAGATTGAGACCATCCTGGTCAACATGGTGAAACCCCGTCTCTACTAAAAAATACAAAAAATTAGCTGGGCATGGTGGCGCGTGCCTGTAATCCCAGCTACTCAGGAGGCTGAGGCAGGAGAATTGCCTGAACCTAGGAGGCGGAGGTTGCGGTGAGCCGAGATCGCGCCATTGCACTCCAGCCTGGGTAACAAGAGTGAAACTCTGTCTCGGGGGGAAAAAAAAAAAAAAGTCAGCTCCTCTTGTTCCCATCTCATAGTTACCTTAGTCTCAAGTATTTCCTCGTTTCTAGTCCAATGGCTGTCTTTCCTCCCAAACTCAGAGGGAGGATTCCTGCCTTGAGGCCTCTGCTCTTATTCCCCATCTGTGATGCTTTCCTCCTGTCTAGATTTACTCATCCTTTAAAGTCTCAGAGCTTTCCCTTACCACTAAGCTAAAATCCTTGCTGGATTTCAGCAGAGCTATTTATCCAATGAACTCCTATCCTATCATTAAAACTAGTCTGGAATCAATAATTTAAAGCAAGAGGTGGTTCTCTCACTAAATGTTAATCTCTTTAAGGCAGAGGTCTTATCTTGGATTTCTGACTTCTACCACCATCTGGTAAAAATAAAATGCCTTTTTTTTTTTTTTTTGACAAAGTCTTGCTCTGTCCCTAGGCTGTAGTACAATGGTGCCATCTCAGCCCACTGCAGCTTCTACCTCCTGGGTTCAAGTGATTCTCCTGCTTCAGCCTCCTGAGTAGCTAGGACTACAGGCCGCACACCACCACACCCAGCTAATTTTTTGTATTTTTAGTAGGCACAGGGTTTCATCATGGCCAGCATGGTCTTGATCTCGACCTCGTGATCCACCCACCTTGGCCTCCCAAATAAAATACTTATAAGCTAAATTTAGCAGGGTGACCTTAGTATGCTCTTCAGTGTTCACATATGCAAAATGGTGACACCACCACTGTTTATAGGACTGTTGTGAAGCTGAGTAAAGCATGCCTCAGGTACTGGGCTCCACTTGGCCCATAATAGGTACCTCATACTGAATATAGAAGGTTAAAAAATGGTTCATCACACATTTACACGACAAGCTGCAAGCTCATTTCCCCAGTCTTGATTCAGTAAGTCTCTGCACATCCCTCTGCATACACAGCCTTGCCAATCCATAATTAATAGTTGTAGTTAGTGGGTGATAGTGGAACAAGCACATCCATATCACAGAATCCCCGCCTGGGGTTGGAAACTAACATGTTTGGGTCTCAGCTATGAAACTGTTTTTCATAAGCCACGATCACGTCAGGACATATTGTGATGACCTCAATGCCAGTTAATACTAGATTTGGGCCTGGCTCTGGTGGACAGTGTGTCATGAATGTTCCTTTAGCAAAGCTGTCCAATTATTCCTGCCCTTCCAAGATCATCAGTCAGAATTTGACATTAGAGGATGTGTAGCCAGAGATGGCTAAAGAGAACCCTCCAGTGATAGTCCTCTGCAGGAACACCACACTGAACTATCCATGTAAAAATGTATCTAAATAAGAGCCAAAAAATCAGGTGAGAGATCACAGTATCTGGCTTAGTATAGTAACAGGAAAAGACACACTGAAGAAGATAGAAAGGAGGGTCTCATATTTTCTACACACCCCTCCCCCAACCCTAGGCAGCACAGCAGAGAGAATCTGTGAGCTTGGGAGAGGGAAGTGAGTCTAGGACTTTGCATAGGAACTCCACAGGGAACACAGCACCAGGCAGAATTCTGAGGTCCCGATTCCAGGCTAGAGCCCGTGAAAAGAGTATTAGGCCCACCCCAGATCACAGCAACATCTGCCACTCCAGTGGGAGGAAACCAAGTCTGGACCCACTTTACAATAAAGTGGCTTTGGGCCCCAAATAATTTCAATGGCAGCCAGGCCACAGCAATTACAGCCCTGGTGTTGCACTGGTCTGGGAATCTACAGGTGTGAGATATGATCCACAAGCTGCCTCAAATCCAGGCAGTACAGCATGGTGAAACACTCCTGCTTGGGCAAAGGAGAGGGATGACTATGAGGGACTTTGCCTTGGAACCTAGTACCAGCCCTGCCACAGTAAAAAACACAGCACCAGGAAGAATCCTGAATCCCCTAATTATAGGCCATTGCTCCCAAACAGCACTTCTAAACCCACCATGGCCAAAAGGCAATCTGCCACCCTAGTGGGATGGACCCAAACCCCAGACAGCTTCATCACTGGATGACTAAAGTTGCCTTAGGCAAACCCCAGTATTGCATTGATATAGGAGCCATGAGAGTACCGGCCTTACCCCTCCCCAACTCCAGGCAGCTCAGAGAGAAACTCCTTCCCCTTGAGGGAAAGAGATCAAAGTGAGCAAGGGACTTTGCCTGGGAACCCCCAGGCATTCTCTCTCATCCTCCCCACATACATCAGAGCTGGGTATCTAGAAGTCTGCAAGATGGTCACAGTGTAACTTGGCTTAGACTGCCCTCTAGTGCTCAAACAGCAGTAGTGACCACACACTTAGGGAACTCATCATCAGTCCCTTTTCATTTTGTAGAAAAACCTCTGAAACAGATGTGTATACACAAGGGCAGACTGTGAAGACTGAAATAAATACCTAGGTCATCAATGCCCATGAGCACCAGAAAAATTCAGAAAAATACTACCTCATCAAACAGACTAAATAAAGAGCCAGTGACCAATCTGGAAGAGACAGAGATATGTGACTGCTCAGGGAATTCAAAAAAGCTGTCCTGAGGAAACTCCAAGAACTTCAATGAAATACAAAGACTCAATTCAGAAATTTATCAGATAAATACAACAAATTAAAATAATTTTTAAAAATTCAAATAGAAATCCTAGAGCTGAAAAGTACAATTAACAAACTGAAAAATGCATCAGTGTCTCAAACACAGAATTGATCAAGCAGAATTAGTGAGCTTAAAGGCAAGTTATTTGAAAATACACAAATGAAAAAAAAAAAGGAAAGAACAAAGAACATTCACAAGGTGAGTCAACGGTATTAAAAAAGGGAGTAGAGAAAGAGATAGGGGTAGAAAGTTTAGCCAAAGAAATAATAGCAGAGAAGTTTCCAAACCTAGAGAAAGATATGAATATCCAGGTACAAGAGGGTCTAGAGAAGGATATGAATATTCCAGGTACATGAAGGTCAAAGAATACCAAGTAGATTCAACCCAAATAAGACTACGCTAAAGTATATAATAAACCCTCAAAGGCCAAAGCAAAGAAAGGATCCTAAAAGCAGTAAAAGAAAAGCAGCAGACAAGATAAAGGAGCTTTGATACATCTGGCAGCAGACTTCTCAGTGGAAACATTACATGTCAGGAAAAAGTGGGATGACATATTCAAAGTGCTGAAGTGGGAAGAAAAAAATACTGCCAACCAAGAATATTGTACCCAGCGATATTCTGGCACAAAGCTACTGAATCCTTCAAACATGAAGTAGAAATACTTTCCTAGACAAAATCTGAGGAAATTAATCACCACTAGAACTCTCTTATGAGAAAATCTAAAGGCAGTTCTTTAATCTGAAATAAAAGGACACTAACATGCAACAAGAAATCATCTGAAGGTATAAAACTCACTGGTAAAAGTTAAGTACACAGACAAATCAGAATCCTGTAACTGGGGTGTATAAACCATTCATCTCTTTAGTATGAAGACTAAAAGATGGATCAAAAATAATAACTGCAACAATCTGTTAAGAGACAGGCAATATAAAAATATAAATAGATATAAGAAGAAGTCAAAATAGAGTTGAAATCTAGTTTTTTTTTTTTCTTTTTTTGAGATGGAATCTCCCACTGTCACCCAGGCTGTAGTGCAGTGGTGTGATCTCGGCTCACTGCAATCTCTGCCTCCTGGGTTCAAGCAATTCTCCTGCCTCAGCCTCCTGAGTAGCTGGGACTACAGGTGTGTGCCACCACGCCCAGCTAGTTTTTTTGTATTTTTAGTAGAGATGGGGTTTCACCAAGTTGGCCCAGATGGTCTTGATCTCCTGACCTTGTGATCCACCCACCTGGGCCTCCCAAAGTGCTGGAATTACAGGCGTGAGCCACTGTGCCCAGGCTGAAGTGTAGTTTTTAAAGTTTTTTATTTCTTTCTGATCAAAGTTAAGTTGTCCTCAGTTTAAAATAACTTGTTTTAATTGCAAGGTGTTTTTTGTAAGCCTATGGCAACCATAAAGCAAAGACCTATAATGGAGAGAATAAAAATAAAAAGCAAGGAATTTAAAGAAACAATCATTTACCCACAAAGACGATAAGAAGAATGAAGTTACAAAACCAGAAAACGAAATAGCAGTAATAAGTCCTTCTCTATCAATAATAATGTTGAATGTAAATCAACCAAATTCTTCAACTAAAAGACATAGTGGCTGAATTTATTTAAAAACCAGACCCAACTGTATGCTGCCAGACAGCATATACTTCACCTATAAAGACACACAGATTGAAAGTGAAGAAATAGGCCAGGCACAGTAGCTCACACCTATAATCCCAGCACTTTGGGAGGCCAAGGTGGGTGGATCACCTGAGGTCAGGAGTTTGAGACCAGCCTCGCCAACATGGCAAAACCCCTTCTCTACTAAAAATACAAAAATAAGCCAGGTGTGGTGGCACATGCCTGTAATCCCACCAGTCAAGAGGCTGAGGCAGAAGAATTGCTTGAACCCGGGAGGCGAAGGTGGCAATGAGTCAAGATCATGCCACTCCAGCCTGGGCAAGACAGCAAGACTCCATCTCAGGGGGGAAAAAAAGAAAGTGAAGGGATAGAAAAAGACATCCCACACAAACGTTTAAAAAAAAAACAAACAAAAAACAGGTGTAACTATACCTACAGCAGATAGAATAGACTTCAAGTCAAAAGTTGGAAAAAGAGACAAAGATCATTATTATAAGGGAGTCAATTCAACAAGAAGATGTAACAACCATAAATATATATGCACTCAACATCAGAGCAACCAAATACATAAAGCCAATATTAATAAATCTAAAGGGAGAGACAGACTGCAATCAATAATAGTGGGGGACATCAGTGTCCCACTTACAGCAATGGACAGATTATCTAGACAGAAAATCAACAACATTGGAATTAAACTATTACTCTAGACCAAATGGACCTAACTGACATTTACAGAACATTTCATATAACTGCTACAGAATACATATTTTTTTCATCAGCACATGGAACATTCTCCAGGGAAGACCATCTGTTGGGCTACAAAACAAGTCTCAACTAATTCAGAAAAATCAAAATCATATCAAGTATCTTGTCTGACCACAATGAAATAAAAGTAGAAATCAATAATAAGGAATTTTGGAAACTGTACAAATACGTAGAAATTAAACATGATGCTCCTTAGTGACCAAAGGTCAATGAAGAAATTAAGAAGGAAATTTTAAAATTTATTGAACAAATGAAAATGGAAAAAACATACCAAAGCCTATGAGATCAGCAAAAGCAGTACTAAAAGGGAAGTTTATAATAAATGCCTACATCAAAAAAAGTAGTGATTTCAAATAAGCTAATGATCACCTCAAAGAACTAGAAAAGGACAAACCAAACCCAAATTTATCAGAATAATGATCAAAAGAAATAAATGAAACTAAAATGAAAAGTTAGTTGTTTGAAAAGATCAACAAAATCAATAAACCTTCAGCCAGACTAAGAAAAACAGAATGAAGACCCAAATAAATAAAATCAGACCAAAAAAA